GCTGACTGACAGGATGGTCCTTCCACAGTACCTGTCTGTTGTGGAGGTCACCAAGGTTAATTTGACAAATTTTACTAATAATCCTCACTGTGTTGGAATGGTCTTGTTTTGATAAAAGGCATGTTTTGTGGTCTTTTTCTGCTTTAACAGTGTTTTTTTCTTCTCTTCTCCATGCCACCGACTTTTTCCTTCCTGACTACAGTTTCCCAACATCTTTTCCCTATTTGTGTTCATTTTCATTAATATTCTGAATGCAGTTTCCTCCCTTTGTCTATTTCTCATCAGCTAAAAGTCCAAAAGCACATTAACATTTTCATTGTTTGTCTATGTGTCTGTTAGTAAAATTATTTATTTTACCAGGGAAAAAATCCCACTGAGACAGTTATGTAGCATAGTTACACATTCAATTACAAAAAAGAAATAAAAACCTTAAGAATTTGACCGAGAACAACTTTTCCATATAATGAACTTAAATACAAATCTGCTCAGCAACAATTTAAAAGCTCTCAAAAAATATTAAATCTATTTCATTTCCAGTCATTCATTCTGCAACATATTCATGCAAAAGGGTGCAGAATAAACAAAAGCCTTTTTACTCATTTCTATAGGCAAATGCAACTGAAAGCAACAAAAAGTCATGAATGGAAGRAGTAGGGAACAACACTTTCCGGCTGAAATGGATAAAATACTTTAATGACCCAGTTTTTCATGACACCATGTTTATAAAAAAAGAATTATAGCTTATAGCAATCACTCTTATCTCTGTGTTTTCCATTGACCCATCAAGGTTCTTATGAAATCATGCTTTATTAAGATGTCATAAAGGAGATTATTAAACAGTATTTTTAGGAGGACTCCTAACTAAGGGGTCAGCACAGATCTTGAGAGTCTGATGACTCTGCGTTGATTTCTGTGTTCCTATAAACAAACCTAGGATTCTAAAACGAGTGTTTCTACACTGTCTACTACCCACTCTTTACTATTTCAGCATAAAACTGTGCAATAAGGCAGACAGAAGAAGAATATTTCACAGCTCTCAGAGAGTCTCAGCCTCCCCCTCATGTTTCTCTGCAGGCTGATCTCTCTCTTCCATCATCACTGCTCCGCTGCCTCCTCCTGCCTCACAGGGTCTCAGAGCTGCAGCTCTCTTATGGGACGTAGGGTTTGGTCATGAACACCAAACCCTCATGGGATGGAAGCTCTGACACTTGATAAATGGGGATGYTGAGGGATTCCTCCTGTGAGGACGTGCCTTTTGTTTCACCTGTGTTCACCTGTTTCTGATCGCCGTGGCCTCGTCKGTATTAAGGCCCTGCTTTACCACAAGTTTATCTTATAGTCACATGATGACAGAGTTGTCACTAAAGTATAAACTTTGGTACTCCTTACATTAAAAAATATAGAAAGTTGTTACTGCAATTTCATTCTGACTTGTTATTGTTAAAAAAAGTCTTAGAAAAGACTTTAACTTTTACCAAAGTAATTTTATTGTAATATGTGTGTACTTTTACTCAAGTATCACTTTGAGGTACTTCATGCAACAATTCAAGATGAACAGGATTACAATGACTTTAATAAAAAAACATGAAAAAAAATGAAGTTGCACTCTGGATACCTTCATAAAATTCTCTCTGCTTCACCCCTGACCTCGTTTCACCTCCATGTTTTTCTCCAGGTACAAGCTGTTGAGTCTGAAGAATCATAACCCTGATGGGTATATTCTTACCACTTTCACTGGTTTAACACAGAGCTCAGAGATCCAGTGCTGCAGCCAATCGTCAGCCCAGTCRCACAGACACCAGACTTCGTGCAGCATCTTATGTCTGTTCTAAACCTCAAGGGTCTGAACTCACCGCCTCATCCGACTTTGTGTCTGTTCACTCTAAAAACAACAACAACAACRACAACAAAAGGATGTTCAGAATGTTTCTCTGTTAGACAGAAGTGGATTAAGTCATTGTGTGGTTCAACGCAAGAACAAGCATTATGGCCATCCATTTAAAGCAGTGTTTCCCAAAGTTGGGGTCGGGACCCAAAGTGGGGTCCCGAAACATCAAGGTGGGGTCCTGAAAAGATTTTCAGAATTAATTACATTTTTGTCTTAGTTGTTACAAAGGTGTGAGGTTAGTGTATTTAAAATGGATAAATGTAGTATAAACCGGGGCGGCTGTGGCGGAGTGGATAGGGGAGTCGTCCTGGAACCAGAAGGTCACTGGTTCGATCCCCCGTCCAGCCGTCTCAGTCATTGTGTCCTTGGGCAAGACACTTCACCCACCTTGCCTACTGATGGTGGTCAGAGGGTCCGGTGGTGCTGGTGCATGGCAGCCCCACCTCTGTCAGTGTGCCCCAGGGCAGCTGTGGCTACAGTGTAGTTTGCCATCATCAGTGTGTGAATGTGAGTGTGAATGGGTGAATGTCTGTTAGTGTAAAGCGCTTTGGGGTCCAGAGGGACTTGAAAAGCGCTCTATAAGTTCAGTACCATTTACCATTTACCATAAAAACATATTGTTACTATGCCCATGTTTAGTTGACCTGATACAAATGTTTGACATACAAAAACAGTTGGGGGAACAGGTCTCTGCTACTGTTATTTTGTGGGTCAAAAGCTGAAAAGTTTGGGAACCACTGCACTTTGGTTCCCAAAGTTGGGCTTGGGACCCAATTATGGGTCATGAAGCACCTTGGATAATCTCCAGAAATCAATTTAAAGGGTAATAAAATAATTGCTGATGTAATATTTTCCCTATAACTATTACAAAAACACAAAATAAGTACAAATAAGTATTTGTATTTGTGTACAAGCTGTTTAGGTTGTCAAAAAGCCTGTGTTTTCAGGGTTATTAACAAAGTTTGTGTACTCAGACCAGTAATATTTGGGGTCACAAGTTTTTGHCATGGATATTTTTTGGGTCATAAGATAAAAAGTTTGGGAACCACTGATTTAAAGCACTTCACCAAACACAAAAATGGCAATAACCCAGTCACTTTTACAGACATTACATTATTTTTGGAGTGATAGCTGAGAGTCACCTCTGATACTTTGAACACTTCTATTCAGTGCATGAGCTTTCACAAATTTGCCAACGTTATTTCCAAGATTTGACCAAAACAGCTGACATTGTTTGATATGGAAAGGTGATCATACGACAAGCATCAATAAGTGGTCGATCTTTAATTTCACTTGACGCAAAGGTGCCTTCAGAAAGTTTTAAGGYGGGGTCAGATGGGGACACTAATAGTGTGGCACACCAAAACTAAAAGCCTTAAAATATGTTTTTATGTCTTTRTGGCGATACATGTTCATATTTATCAGCACAAAGAACAAAGAAAGCATGCTGTCAGTTTATCAGGTATTTTCTGAGGCCTCATAGTATCTTAAAGCCCAAGGTAATGGCTTATCTTTACCTTATGGTCTGTCTTTGCTGTTCTGAATCAGCTGGAGGTGGAGATTGTAATGACTTGGTTCTGACCCTGGGAGTCACTTTTTGTAAACMTATGGAGAAGCTGAAGCGGGCAGAAAATGTGAATGGATAAAACCTTTTAGGGCGTTTTATAATTCAGTCATTTCAACCAAGGTCCCAGTCAACGTTGTAATGAAAAGCATTCCAAGGTGAACCAGTGCTTATCCRACCCACTGACCAATTATTGCTGGTTTTACAAACAGTCAGAAGCTGTAAGTGAACATTTCAGGGGATAAAATGAGAAATGTTTCTCATTATGTAAGGATTTCTGTTATGATTTCATCTAAGTGAATCTGAAGCAAAACATAAATACAATTGGAACTGAATGCAACATTTCTTTTGCTTTACCATTTTCAGCTTCAACTCTCTTTTCATATTTTTATTACTACAAGAGGAATTTGTCAGAGCTATGTAAATAACACCAATATTCTCTTTTTTTAAATAACACCAATATTCTCATTGAAAAATATCCCACTGGCTTGCTTTCAATTTGTTCTTAGGAAGCAAACATTCAACAAAACTGTCCCCTTAAATACAGAAAAGAGTGAAATAACTTTGTCCAACAAGGCACCAAAACTATGTACCGGTAATCTTTTTTTAGTAATTTATTTATTTTGTTTTTTTTTACTGGATTTAATAATAAATGTTTGGAGGATTGCAGATTTTACTGATGTCCTCAAAAACACTGATAAACACCAGGAGAAAAAAAAAACTAATCATTGTTAAACTAATGAATGAGTCAAATGAACATACAGTAGATCTAAGCTGAAAGATGTGGAATCTCCAAAGCTGTTCCTCTGCCCTCTCCTGGTAACACATCCTCTTTTAGCTCAAACCATTTAGCTATAAAATAATAAATGTTTTCATTCATTCATTATACTTTGTAGCTGCTTGCATGTCTTTTAAACAACCTTATAAAGTAAATTTGTGTGTTTTATTTAAAGTTATTTCTACAGTCATTTCTTTTGGTTCTAACATTTTGACATTTATTCCCTTTATGTTTGATTTAATGACATATTTTCAGTCGAACACAACTGGACATTTAATTAAAAACACAACACATATCCAGAATACAAATGACGTGACTAATAGTAATGTTTTTTTTACGTAGGGGTCAGAGGTATTGAAGCAACAAGGACAAAGGACAAATCAACTTTACAATTTCCATCAGTAAATCAAAAGTAAGATCTACTGTGAAACAAAAACTGAAGGAACCATGGCAAAAACAAGAATTATTAACCAGACTACGATTTGGACGCACTGGACTGAATATCACATTATACAGAATCCAAAAACACAACACAGATCAATGTGAGCACAGCGAGGAAAAATAAAAGAAACATTTAATATATTATAAAAAGAAACAAGTTGTAATTTATTCTGATTATTATTAGGTTGTTTTTTATTTTTATTTTTTAGAAAAACATAAACAAGACCACAGGTTTGAATCACACTCCATATCAGTAGGTGGCGATAACAAACACTTTCCATTGTTTGACAACCGCCATTAAACAACAGAAGAAGAAGAAAAGTGACGTATTTTATAAGCGACAGAAGGAGGGCGGTTTGAAAGCAAAAAAGCAATTTGCAGTAACAATGGGAAGATGCTAGAAAATGCGTGATTAAGAGACTAAATTTTCTCCAGGCTGTAAGTGAGAAACGTCATACACACGCTGGGAAAGATTCAGGTTCTCATATTGTTGGTTAATTTTAATTTAAAACGACTTGTTATGGTAGTTAGCTTGTTAGCTGCTGCTGGTCTCCTCCAGCTGCCTGTTTTGACACCGAGCTGCCTTTAACAGTTATTTTTATTATTGAGTGCTAACCTAGTGAGGATGGCGAGTGTGCACGAAAGTCTGTATTTCAACCCCATGATGACGAACGGGGTGGTCCATGCTAATGTATTCGGCATTAAGGACTGGGTGACTCCGTATAAAATCTCCGTGCTGGCGCTGTTGTACGAGATGACCGCCTCTAAGATCACTCTGTCAGAGAGAAGGCGGCTCAACAAGCTCATCCTGCCTCTTCAACAGGTCTGCATTTGTTTTTTTTTATTACCACACTGCTTTCGTCCTGGGCATGCAGGTGTTTACTGTGTTTTCATTGGGATGTTTAGGGTCCAGACCTGCCTCTTGGCCCGTTCCTGAAGACAGTGGAGGAGTGCTGCCCTGTGACTGCAGAAGCTGTGAAACTCAGGTCTGCTGCTTCCTCCTGTGCTTCATTGTTCAAACTTGAAGATCAGTATTTGGTTAACTACTGGTTCATCTACAGACTGGTTGAATTTAACCTTGTGCTGTGTAAAGAAAATGCAGTCTATGTTGCTGATGACTGGAAACTTGAGTCTCAATACTTTTTCTGTTAAAGCRTCAACCCTAGCTGCAGGGAGAAAAAATGTCATTAACTAGAAATGTGACATTCACAAACCATCCCAATCTGTTGACCAGCTCTTTAAAACAAATAATGGGGAACAAGTCACAGACAAATGACACATGTTTCTTTTTTTAATTGTTTTTTCCCCCTCCTGACTTCCTCCTGAGATGCAGACTTACTGTACGCAGACTCCTCCTTTGCTTTTCCACTGAGATGAAGGAGAACAAGCAAAGAGGAGAGCAGCGGTTGTATAAGGGGAACATGTTCAGGAGGGGAAGGGCTGTTGTGCGCTTATCACTTTGACTTTATATTGTTGTATGTATGCAGTGACACAAATTTCTGTGTCTCTCTGAAATGAATGAGCTATATATTCCATCTCTAGCTATAATGGGTTCAAACCTGTGTCAGAAAAGTGTCAAAATAAACCACTTGTATAGATTTATGTTTGATCAGTGCCCTCAGAGACATGTATGGGCATTTTGTCTGCCTCGATCTGGACACTGAACCCCCAGAATGAGAATTATGCATCACTATATACTGTCGATTTACTATTTATTTTAAAGAAAAGAAGTGACAAATAGGGGTACACTGATTGCAGTTTTCTGGCTGAAAAATGACTTTTAAAAAGTCGGACCTTTCGATTCCGATTTTGGCCGATGCTGATTATTTTTATAACTGACACTGTCTGGTGTTATAAGGTCACAATACACCCTTCAGTATTCTAGTCTTATTTTATTGGCAAACACTGAACAATTAAAACAATATTTACTTGTTTTAACTGGACACGAGGCAGTGCTCACARCAGAGCAAAAGGCAGGGGCTGATTTTCAGACCTTTAAGGAGGTAGACAAGATCGGCATTTCATATAAATTTCAGCCGATTAACGATCTCCCAAAATTAAGGAAATCGCACCACTAGTGACAATATTTCCTAAAAGTATTTTTCTACACTGATTGTGCACAGAACAGGAAAGTTTTCTAATTGTCAGTCACAGCATAATATTTCTGCATCTTTACTTTGTAGAATCACATTATTTCTTATTGCAGCAAATGACCATATTTAAAAACAATCTTATGTCTTTACATAACTTTTGTGTTATTTTCAACTTAATACAGGTTAACAGAATTTATTGGTTATTTTACACAACACTGCAAGAAATTTTATAGTTGGGATTCCTTGTAAAAACTGCCTTAAATAAATATCAAACATTGTAGTAACAAAACAGTTCATCTATAACCACAAAATACTATTATTGGTTTCTGTATGATTTCAAAGTCAAACTGAAATAATAATAATGTTGAAAAACAGTTAGACTTTTCTTTATAAAAGCAGTGTGTCCTGTCTTGTCCTGGCTGTAAGGTTGATCTCCTGKTGGTTTGATGGTTTTTGAAAAACAAACTGAATTTTCTTCTTTAGGAGGGGACACTCACACCCAAATTAGACGTCCCCACAGTTGTGTTTAATGGCTGAATTCTCACCATAGCTTTAAATCATTTAAACAAAAACATCTTCTGGATTTGCTAAACTTCAAAACTAAGTCTTTAGCAGAGTGGGCCTTAAAATGAAGTTCAAAAAAGAGATGAAAACAAAAGCAAGTTTTTGTTTTATTTCAGACACCTTCCTTTTCTGGATGCAGGGTTTGTATTATGCTAATGAATCTGGATTTATTTAAAGGTTGCAGGAAATGGCAGACGGAGAGCTGAAAGACATGGAGCATTTCTTTTCCACTCTCCCCACTCCCTTCACAGCGTTTGATTCTGAGGCTTATAAAACCAGCGTTGTGGGTGAGTGAGCTGACAGCTGATGTCTGATTGTGTTTGACTCTCGTCTCAGGAGCTGTGTTGTTGAGCTGTGTTCTGCCTGTGTCCTAGGTCTTTTTATGAGACACATGCTGTTGGCGTACAACAAGCTGTCCTTCAGTCAGGTTTACAAGCTTTATAAGTCCCTGCAGCACTACTACCACAGCCACTTCGCCAAGCCCACAGCTGGGCAGATGGGGCTGCCGGCGCTGGTCGCAGACGACTCGGACATGGACCTCACCAGTACTGAGTGCACTGTAGGGGACAGAATGGACAAAGAAGAGCTGGACACCCCGTTACACGAGTCAGAACTCCAGTTAGTAGTGCCTACTAAAACTATAAATCCTCATAAAGTCTGGTGAATATAATAACAGCAGATTCCTATGTCTGTTTTAGAAGTGACAGCACTCACAGCAGAGGTCCTCTGTCGCAGAAACAAGCTGAATATTTTCTTGCACGACAGGTAGGTGTAGAAAAAATATGGCCTGAATCAAATCATTTTTGAGGATTTTGCTCAGATGAGTTGACTTCCCGGCTTCACCGTCGAACCTAGCTGCCCTGCTGTGCCACTAAAAGCCTCTGACAGATGTAGAAACCGTCTCCCTGCAGGCGTATCTTCTGAAGAACGACGAGAACAAAGCCCTGAAGCCCGCCGCGCTGCAGGAGGAGCTCAACAACATGCTGAAGTTCAACCCAGATTTCGCAGAAGCGGTGAGGCCCATCAAGTTTGAACTAACTGAGTGGTTTCTGTCTCCTCCTGCAGTCTCACGGCTCTTCTCTCTGTTTGCAGCACTACCTGAACTACCTGAACAGCATGAGAGTGCAGGACATCTTCCTGTCAGCCCACAGCCTCCTGCATTATTTTGACCGCCTCATTTTGTCCAGCAATGAGGGCAAGAGCAACGGAGATGAAGGCTACGGTCGAAGTCTCCGCTACGCTGCGCTCAACCTGGCAAGCCTGCACTGTCGCTTTGGCCACTAGTGAGTTAAACAGCTGGAGGAGTCTAATGAGGAGGTTTTTTTTAAAAGAATAAACAGTTTTTTTTCTCCCTCAGTCAGCAGGCTGATCTGGCTCTGCAGGAGGCTATCAGGATTGCCCAGGAGTCCAATGATCATGTCTGCTTGCAGCACTGTCTAGTAAACGGTTTTCTTTTTGTTGTTTCATTAGATTTCAGTGACTTTACCCATGAAGGGTTGTGAATTAAATCTGCGTGTCCTCTGTCAGAGTTGGCTCTATACGCTGGAGCAGATGAAGGGATCCGACAGCACCGTGCTAACTGAGGACTCGGTGAAAATGGCCGCTCATTTCTGCCTGCCTGTGAGTTCAGCTTCCTGCCTCTGTGGCCCTGTTCACACGTGTCTTTAGTTATCTAATTATTATTACACTAAACACAGCTGTGAATTCTGTCAATGTGCATCGACAACGTTTGAACTCAAACCACCTTCTTATGTGGAGCCCCTGAACAGCAGTCCATCTCAATCCTTGGTGGAGGTCCTTCTACTGAAAGAAGTGACCCCACACAAGCAGRTGTACTGATTAAAAGAATTAAACACCAATCTTTATGATTATTCTGAAGATACAGCTTGATGTTTTAGTTTTAGTGTTAATGAACTGTTTATTAGAACACTTATTATTAAAGAGGTTTGTGTTGTTGGGATTTGAATATCCAGAGTAGATTACAGGATGTTTTAATTGTGAGTTTATCTGGTTTAACCTTTTTTTAATTGTTTACAATTGTTTGACAGTGGCTGTGGGTCACTGTGGACTAATGTGCTGTCAGTCACAGAATATTATATTATATTAAAGTATAGTATAGTATATTAAATTATTACATTACATTACATTAC